TGAAACACTAACTCATCATTCCTTCCTACCCACAGCCCCTGGCAACCACCATTCTACTTTCTGTCTATGAATTTAACTACCCTAGGTCCCTCACATATGAGGTCTGACAAGTAAATTCACAAACTTGTTGCATCGATGTTGCTAACCTTTTTTTGCTATCAGAGGGATTATCGTTATGAATTTGTACCAAATGGACAAACAGCTAACCAAGTTTACTATTTGGAAGTGCTAAAAAGGCTGCGTGAAAAAGTTAGATGACCTGAACTTTTCACCAACAATTCATGGCTCTTGCATCACAACAGCACACCAGCTCACTGGGTACTGTCTGTGAGGGGGTTTTTAGCCAGTAAACAAATTGGAACACCCTCCCTACTCACCTGATTTGGCCTCCAATGATGTCTTCCTTTACCCAGAGATAAAGGAAGTATTGAAAGGAAGACATTTTGATGACATTCAGGATATCAAGGGTAACACAACGACAGCTCTGATGGCCATTCCAGAGAAAGAGCTCCAAAATTGCTTTGAAGGGTGGACTAGGTGCTGGCATCGGTGCATAGCTTCCCAAGGGGAGTACTTCGAAGGTGACCGTAGTGATATTCAGCAATGAGATATGTAGCACTTTTTCTAGGATGAGTTCGCGAACTTAATTGGCATACCTCATATTTGTCCCAGAAGTCTTAGTGCTGTTTTAACCTTTAGTTACCTCAAAAGTATAAAAAGCTACTGAAAGACCATTTATTACATTTTTCAAATATTGATTTTTTAAAAATTAAATTCAAAATACCCACTATCTTGTGCTATATAGCACTCTAGTCATTTTTCAAACTAGCTCAGCATCTCTTGGATGTAGGCCTATCAAGAATTGAAAAAGTTTCTTTGAATATTTTCATCCAGTTGTTAAACTTCTGTGTTGAGAAACATATTTTGTTTCATATTTATAGGAGAAAAAAATGATCTTATTGTCATCATGGACTTGAGTTCAGCTAACCAGAGGACAGATGCAATTTTTTTTGACATTTGCCAGCTTCAATCAGAGGGACTGAAACAAAAAATAAATTTAAAAATCATTACACTATTCAAAATTCACAAAATTAAGTAATATAAAAGAAATCTAAACTAGGGCCGGCCGAGTGGCTCAGTTGGTTAAGAGCTCTGAGCAACAGCAGTTCAATTCCCAGCCTGAGCTGAGCAGCCGCTGAGCTGCCAACAGGTGGCAGGATAGCTCAGCTTAAAAACAAAATGAGGAAAAGAAATCTAAACTTTCAAATGCAATAGGCTTCTGAAATACCATCTTAAACATTAACAAGAGTAAGGAAAACACCACTTTATCTTTGCCCGTTTGCCCCAGAGTTTGTGCCTTCCCAATTCTCCTTGATGTGACCAGGGCCTTCCCTTGCCTACTTTGAGGGCCCCAGCATTTCCCTGACCTGACACCTCCGCCCCTCTGCTGGCACCTGGCTGCAAGGCAGCCCTTCATCTCTGTAGACAAGGATGTTGCAGCTGCACTGCCCTTGCCTGGAAACAGATGCTTGCACTGCCAGAGGCACCAGGCTGCGCTCTGTGCTCTTCCAACAGCTCTTCTCCCACTGCTCCGGGTGAGCCAGCTGGGATTTTGAATTCTGATCCCATGGTTCAAAACACGAATGAAGGTTTCCCAGACCAGACTTGAAAAAGGCCAGGTGACTGAGTTTTTTGGTTTTTTTTTAAGTGTCTTGAGCTCCTACCTGATAAAAGGAGGACTAGGTAAGGATTGACTTTGCATTTTTTTTAAGAAACATTGCATCACTGTATAAGGGCATTGCTTTTGTATTTAGTGTTCAGCAGTGTATCGTGGAACACACTAGGTCATGTAGTGCAGATCTCTTCATCTAATCAATCCTTCATATAAAAATTCAGCATGTAAAAAGTTATCTTTAACCCTAACTCCTAAATCTGAACAAGTGGAAATTTTTGCTATATTTTTAGGGTGACTGAATATCAGGCTGCCTTAAAAGTGTGGTTTCTGGGCTCTAACTTAATTCTCCCTTTATAAGTTTTCACGAGATTTGTTTTGTGCACTTCTCTTCCCACTAACAATTTATAGAAATCTTAGCATCAAAAATAATTGACAAACCCTTTTAAACATCCCACTACACTATACTATTTTTATCTACCTTTTCCTACCTTCTGACTGCCCCATTAGCCACACTACAGACCAGGTCGATATTGCCATGTGTGAATATTTGTGTTAACACAAGGTGTGAGGCCTGACAGTAGGGCTAAATAGGCTGTTTGCTTCTGTCTATGTCAAAAAGAGTGATTTACTGCTTTTGTTTTTGTTTTGTTTGTTTGTTGTTTTTTTAAAGCAAGTTTATTGAGGAACAGTGTGTTTTTCCAGGACCCATCAGCTCCAAGCCAAGTAGTTGTTTCAATCTAGTTGTGGAGGGCGCAGCTCTGCAGCCCATGTGGGAATTAAACTGGCAACCTTGGTGTTAGGAGCCTGCGTGTTAACCACCTGACCTAACCGGCTGTCCCTAGTGCTTTTGATTTTTTAAAGAGTCTTCTTATTTTTTATATAGTACTAAACTGGGCACGTATTTTAAGAAGTTAAAATTTGATCATGAAATTCCTTTAATGAGAACACACATTTCAAGCAGGAGTTATTTATCTGTGGCATTCGTGAATTCTTTCATCTATTCTACAAAGATTCACGGAGGATCTCTCCTGGGTCAGGCACTGAACTAGGCACAGGTGCAGCAGATGCAAAGGACAGATTCAGCCTGGCCCTCGTGGAGTCCACAGTATATTGGAGTTTTGAAAAAGCAGTAAACAAACAGTTACAACGCAGGGTCCCAGTGAGATGATGGAATGGAGAAGGGGCACCTAACCCTGACTGTGGAGGCAGTGGTAAGGTGGGAGGATAACTAAGAATTGGCCAAGTGAATAAGGGGCCAAGGTATTCCAGAGAGGAGGGGCACATATAGCCAAGGGATGAACTAAGGTGTTTAGGAAGTGCAAGTAGTCAGAAGGACAGTGAGGCGCGGGGGGAGCGCTGGGAGGGGAGAGAAGTGAACTGAAGCTCCAGAGTTTACATTGACCCAGCCTTGAAGGACCATGGCCAGGGGCTTGTAGGTGGTGGGGACAGTGAGATGGTCATATTTGTATTGTCACTGTGGCAACACCGTGTAGGGTACACTGGAGTTAAGTAAGCAGGAGGCCACTGCAGAAATCCAGGTTAGATTAGTGATCTAAGACCATGGCAGTGGCAAGTGGGGTGGAAAGGACAAGACAGGACAGATATTTAGGACACAAATCCAACAGGATACAGTAACTGGGTTTGGCAAGAAGGAAAGTGAGTTGGGAATGACTCCCATATTCCAGATAATTGGGGCCCTTATTCCTAGAGAGGAGCAGGTTGGAGGTATGGGGTGGGCATGGGGGATGAACTCAGGTCTTGGCAGGGAAAACTGGAGATCCCTGTTAGACATGGAGGTAGAGGTGTGCTGGGGGACAGTGGTGGACTGGAAGGTGCTCTGGGCTGGAGATCTGATGTGGACATAGAGCTGTGTGTACAGAGTATGCAGGATACAGTCTACCCCACTAGGAGCACACCTAAGAGGAGAAAGGCTGTGCTGGGTCTGAGGTGCCGCCACCCCGCGGAGGAGGGGAGATCCTCTAGCCAGAGGCAAACAAAATAAAAAAGGCCATGTGGTGGAATCCAAAGGCCAAAGGAAAGTCAGACCCAGCTCCACAGAGAGGTCAAAGAAGATAAAGACCAAAGTTCATGGGTGAACTTTAGTCCCTGGGAGGCCATTGATGACCCTGGTGAGAATATATTCAGTGTAGAGAGGTGGGCTTCCAAGGGCTGAGGTGTAAACAGGAAGTAAGGCAGGACAAGGGAAGTCACATTTCCTTTTCAACTCTTGGCTGTGGTGGGCAGGAGGAAAGATGTTGGAACTAACAAGGTACCTGAGATTGAAGGAAGCGCTGTTGGTTTTAAATGGGGCAGAGTTGAATGTATTTGTGTCCTTACAGGAAACAAGCAAATAGAAAAGAGGAGATTGAAGAAAGAGGGAAGAATCAGAGGGGACACTTAACAGGGTAAGGACCCCCATGACCCTGGGCACAGAGGCAGCACAGCAGGAGCTCCGCCAGCGGGGTTTGCTCTCTGTGCAGAACAAAGCCAGGTCATGCAGAAATTGAGAGAAACGTTGCGTGTTTGGAGAACAGTGAGAGACACCTGAAGACCAAGCTACATGAAGGCATGTGAAAGAATCCATACGCAGTGCTGTGAGCTCCCCCCCCCCCCCCCCCCCCCCCGGGCCTCGAGACCATCAACTTGTAACAATGCACGCGGAAGTGGTCTCCACAGCGCAGTTCTGGCATCCAAAACTGAGGCCCAGTCAGTTCTTTTGCCTTCTTTCCCCCAAGTACAGCAACATGAGTGCAAAGTGGCTGGTTGCCCATGTGGCCTGGCTGTGGCAGGAATGGAGGGACCTATCTCACACTCAGTCAAAATACGCGAGAACACATGCCTGTCTCTGCCCTGGTTTGTTCCTCGGCTACCATGGCAAGTTCAAGGCCAGGGTGTCTTCCAGAAAAGGAGCACAGCTGTTCAGAGAACTGCAGAGGAGAAACGGGGGCTGGAAGTAAAGACAAGAGGCTAAGGGAGGCGGCGGCGTGGGTGCCCTGGAACAGTCTAGAAAATGAAGAGAACAAAGGCGGTGTGACGGTGAACCCCTTACAGACCCTCCTCCCTGATAGAATATGCATGATCCTGCGCGAGGCCCCGCCTGCCTGGGAGCAGGGAGGCGTCCGGAGGGTCGGCGGGGAACGATTGCCCAAACCCAATTTTCTGGGCTGAGGGTGCGAGGCAGCTACACGTCCGCGGTTCGGACCCCACGCGGGTGAGCTCCCCTCGCGCTGGGCTTAGAGGTCAACTCCCGACCCCTCCAGCACCGTTAGCACTAGCGCCCCTCCCATACTCCGGAACTGGTCGCTCCCACATCGTACTGGTCGCCCCCGGAGCAGGCCAGCTCCCCTTCTCTGCTGCGCAGAGGCCCCGGGGGAATTCAGGCCCGGGAGGGGACGCAGGTTCGACGGCGGAGGCAGAATGGGACGCGGGCCTAACGGCAGGTGCCAGCAATCGCCCTGCGGGAACTTGGTGGCGCGCCCCGTCCCTCAGTGTGGCCGCAGACTACCACCCAGCAGGGCCCCAGAACCATGCGGAGCGCGCTCTCCCCCCGGACCCCGCCGGGCTCTTCCCGGTCGCGCAACCAGGGGCGGGGCTGAGCGCTGCGCGCGGACGTAGGGCGAGCCTAGGGCGCTACGCCACCCGGCTGGCTCCAGCAGAGCCAGGCGCTGTCTGCACCTGCCTCAGTTCATTGTATGCTGTTTATCCAGCAGATAATTCTAAGCAATAATCTTTAAAAAGCATTTGACTCCGTGTGTCTTCCTTGCATCCTTTTTAGTTAGGAGTTTGTGGTGGGCGGGGGGAGGAACAAGAACGCCGGTTCTGATCGGAAAACACCGAGAGAACAGACCATCTCTTTCAGCAGCAAGGAAGACAAGCCGTCGCAGGAGCCACACATATCTACAACTCTTTATTGCTTTTTGTGCAAATTCCTAACTGTGCCTGACGTCCATACAAACGGGCAGGCATGGGCTGTTTGGGCAACAGCAAGACAACAGAGGACCAGGGCGTCGATGAGAAAGAAAGACGCGAGGCCAACAAAAAGATTGAGAAGCAGTTGCAGAAGGAGCGCCTGGCTTACAAAGCGACTCACCGCCTGCTGCTACTGGGTAAGGCTGGATGCAGGATGCAGGCGAGCGGAGGAGCGCACATCCAGCAGCACTGCGAGTGCGGGCCGGGCGGGCGGGGCCGAACACCGGCTGCGCGCACCGCCGGAGACCTAGCAGCCGCCAGCGACTCGGGCCAGCTCCTCCAGCCCAGAGTTGGCGTGTACTTGAAAATGCCTGCGATGCGCTAGGATAATTGTTCAGTGGGGGTTGGTGTGAGAAATGGCCAGGGCATCGGGCTACAAATCACAGCATTCTTTTTGTTTGTTTGTAGGGGCTGGTGAATCTGGGAAAAGCACTATCGTCAAACAAATGAGGATCCTGCACGTCAATGGATTTAATCCTGAGTAAGGAATGATCAGTTGCGGTTTTGCTTAAAAACTGCACGCAAGCTTTGTCACTTCTCTCTTAGCCTTCCCAAACCGTTGATTTGATCATTGAATACACCTTTAAAGGAGAAAAATACAGAAGTGTTTTGTTGAATTTGGTATATTTAGGCAAATCCTTCTTTTGATAGTGTCTAGATCAAAAAAATAAAATAACTTGCCTAACAAAATATGATTTATTAGGTATTCTTGAGGTATTGAGTATTGATCTGTATTCTTGATATTGCTCTGAGCACACTTAACCAATATGTCGATGTATACTTTTCTCTATACCATTTGTCTTCATCTGTTTTAATTCATAGCTATCAACATATATCGGATTGATTCAAATTCAATATATTTACAATTATAGCTTTATAGTTTTTATATGCAATAGTCATGACAAGTTTCCCATGTTTTGTGTAACCAGTGTGGTTGTTTAACGCTGTAGATTGTAATTTGTGCATTCAAGTTTGTTTAGAGTACAAATTATAGAAGGAAGATGTTTTCCTTTCCCAGACAAAAACTTTGCAGCTATTGTCCTAGGGGTTGATGTTGACCTCTAGGAAACCAGTCTAGCCCCATTCCACAGCTGGAAATTTTAAATCCCACACAATTTATTCAAATCAGTGCCAATGATAAATTAATAACAATTCTCTTTTAATACAGGGAAAAGAAGCAAAAAATTCTGGACATCCGGAAAAATGTTAAAGATGCTATTGTGGTAAGAACTTTTATTTAAATGGTTGTTTACTAGAAAAGTTAAGTACTCTTCTCTCTAAAACTGTGTAGATAGAAATTACATATTAGATTATCATACATGGAGCCTAAGTGTTATGTTTATATGCATGTATACTTTTTCCATTTTAGACAATTATTTCGGCAATGAGTACTATAATACCTCCAGTTCCACTGGCCAACCCAGAAAACCAATTTCGATCAGACTATATCAAGAGTATAGCCCCTATCACCGACTTTGAATATTCCCAGGTACGTAAATCCTTATTGAAATATTTTAGGTGATGCAAGATGGAACCATTTTTAATGAGGTGGCTTACTGAGAATCAATGTTAATATTAATTCATTATCAACTTTCTTCAAAATCTAGCTCTGCTTAAGAGAAATGCTTTCCTCTGTACCAAAATATTAACATTGGTTAAAAACATTAAAGACAATAGAATTGTAAAAAATGCTTTTATGAATGTATTAATAAGTTTGATAATCAGGAAGACAGCATACCTTTAAGAAATATTGATAGTATTTTCTCCTATATGTATTTCTAAATTAACAAGTAAGCAATTTCCCAGATAACAAGTGAGTGGAAATTCCATGAGTAGAGAGAAATACTTTTTGATATGTGATTGGCTCCATAGAAAGAATAGAAAGAACAGAATTCAGTTTACTTTTAAGGTGTGTGTCCCTTTGGATTAAACAAGAAGAGAATGCATGCTGTAAATAATAATATGGATCACTTCTGAATGTTTACTATATGATAGGAAAATGTAGTTTGCTTCACATCTGCAGGATTTAGGGCGGCTTTCCTAATCACTTGGATGACAGTAATGCTTATGCAAAAGAATGATGTGAATATTAGTTTTCTCTGGGGGGATAACCACTTCTTTTAAATATTACTATTTGGAAATTTTATTAAGCATGTTTCGAAGAAAGATATATTTGTTAAATTTTTCAAAGTCATTTTTGTTATAATTGTGCCAAAAGCGTGTGTGTGTGTGTGTGTGTGTGTGTGTGTGTGTGTGTGTGTCTACCCATCAATAACAGTATTTCAAAGTTTTCACTGCCTGACATGGTGGTCTTAAGACATTTTTCATTTTCAGAATCCTCTCTTCCAAGGGAAGCTTGTGTACAATGTGTACACAATGTGTCCAGAAACCAATGTGTACAATAGATAGGCCCTACCCTGCTCTGACTGAAGTTCTGGCCAATGTGCGCCTGCTCAGCCCTACCCCTTCTCTTCAGCACAGCATAGTTGTCCAATGTGCTCTGTATTGGGATAGTAGATACGAATTACTTTTTTAAAAGCTTTTATTTCCATTCTCCCATGGGATTATTGCTTCTGCTAAGCATTCCGATGTAGCCATTGAGATCTCTAGAATTTCTAAAAAGGAGATATAGGGGTGGCAAAATGGCTAGAAACGGGTTAGGGCATCTGGCACAGCAGGGCCCGCTGTTTTTTACTAAACTATGTCTTTAATTGGAAGGCTTGGAGAGGGATAAAGGAGATGACGTGGTGAACACGGGATGGGGGTGAAGGGGTGGGCCAAAGCAGTCATTCAGCTAACTAGACCTGTAGAATGTCCTCCCAGCATTCTATGATATCTTATGTATGGAAGAAGTCATCCAAAACTATGAGGCCTTAGCTGAAATCAAGAGTGGCATTCCCATTCAACTTCAGATTTACACATTCACAGACCCATATTTGAGTTCTCAATTTTGTCCTGTTGTGTTTGCCTAAATATAATCATAAAACATCTTATATATGGTTCTGATATAGGAAAAAGCTTTTCTTAGCATATAATGAGAATTTAGAATTAAGATGAATTAATCAACTACACATCTTCTTTCTTCTGTTCATGACAAACTCACACATGATAAAGTGATCCCCTATTTAAAATTCATAACGTCAGTAACTCCCTTGTGGATTACTAAGGAATTCAAAGTACCTAATTTGTGAAAGTGTTTTTTGAGCTAAACCATGAATATTTTTAATAAACAAATAAAATCGACAAACCATTTTCTTTGAACACAGGTATTTTCATATAGATGTGTTAAGGCTACTTAAAAATGATTATCAGAAACCAATAAAAGACCATTGTGAGCCAGCAGATATATGTGAAATTATAATGCTTTTTCAGAAGTAATAGTTTTTTAGTAGTTTTTAAGCCCAGCATCCTGTTGTCATCTGTGTCTCTGTCCATGTCAAATGACATTATATTTATATTATAAAAGAGCCTGTACTTATATAAATGAGGAAATTAATATCTAAATATATAGCTTTCCTTCTGAAAATGCTGCTTTTAATATGCATACATTTCAGTAACATTTATTTCATAGTGCTCTAAATATTCATATCACTTATAATATTAGATTGAATAGTTCTTAGATTTACATTTTGATGATCCTAAGACCAATCTCTGACTTATATACTAATTTTACTTGTTACATTTGGAGAAAATTTACTTTTATTTAAAGAAAATGTTTATTGTTGTAAAAATATATAATAAAAGTAGAGCTAAATTAAGTATTTTTTATAGTAAACATAACACTAATTTACTAATCTAGAACTTCTTTGAGATTAAATCCTTGAGAAAGTCTTTCAGTGTCACATTCAATTCCTTGAGGGTCTTTTAAGTTTATTTTCCTTTAGATATAAAATAATTTTGAACCAAATATACCTTATCATTAAAAATAATTCAGAGTTATTTAAGAAGGAAAAATTAGATTTTTTTTTAAGGAGAAGAGGATAAATAAGGCTTAACAAGAAATGTGAGAACAGCCTGATCTGTTGGTCAATGTTCTGTCATTACCACCTGATACTTCCTCAGGCGACGTTCATCAGAATTGCAAGTCAACATAAACCCAGTGAACAGGAATATTATTTCCTCTCCTCCCAGGTGAGAGGACACCAAGCATTTGGTGAGGGTGTAGCCCGGCTTACTGCAGTGAACCGGGAATAAGGCCCTGAGAGCCCAGTTGCCCATTGTGAGTCTTGGTTCCACTATTCTCTAAAGATGTGTCCTCAAGCAAGTGGCCTACCACTCAGTGAAGAACAGGGTGGAAGCAAGACTTCCTGAAGCCACTCTAAGGAGGGCTGGTGAGCACATGCATGGAAGGGCTGAGAGCTATGCCTACACCAAGTGACTCTCAGCTGCTTCTGCCTGTGTGCTTGTTCTGTCTCCTCTGGGAAGTGTGAGTAGAGTTATAGAATTCATATCATACAGGTTAATGATCTTCCTGGTGATTTTTTAACCAACTGAACGTTCTTGCTCCCCTACCCAAAAAGACTTTGAAGTCCATAGTGTAAATCAGGTAGGAGTAAGTTCTCAATTGTCACGTCCAGCGTGGCAAGGGCAAATGGGACACGAGAGGGGCGGCGCAGATTGAATAAGTACAAGAGACAAAAGTAAGATTTAAGAGCGAGACTAAGGGACTCAGCCTTTAGAGATAGACTGAGCCACCGAATCGGGTCAACGTATGGTTTTTATTGATTTTTTTCAAGGAAGTAAACTGTTGTGTTGTCCGTCATTAACCGTGTATACTGGTGTGCCTTAAGGCCTTTTTCAGTGACCTTTTCCCAAAGTACTTCAGTAAATGCTATGTCTTCATACTTCACCACATTGCCCCAAGACATAATTACATGTCCTCCCAGGGAGACAGCTGATATCATTCCATCAGGTCCCAGTCAGGCTGAGACGCCCCCCGAGAGAGTTTTACAGATATCATTCCATTCGGCCTCAGTTTTCCGAGACACTCTCTCGACTAATGGGTCAGAGGCTAATGCAGGGGGAGTGGTCTAAGAATCGGCTGTAAGGCGACACTCAATAGGGAGCCCAAGCTGCAGCCCCCACATGAGTCCCCAGCATCTGCCCTCAAACCTCATTGGAACCCTCCAGCCCTACCCAGCACTATCAGAAAATGACAGCTGGTGGCATTAGCTCCTAGAGGAACAGGACTTTTCCTTTGTCTACCATCTTCCTCTGTCTACTGCCCGCCCTCCTCTCCCCCACCACTCACATGGCACAGCCAGGTACACTGAAAGCCATTGCTGAGTGCCTGCTAACTTAAAGTATAATAGAATATTAGTCCACTTCAGTAAGGAGCTCTGAGGGTAACAAGTGAGGGGACTGGCCCACTGGGATGTCACACAGTATCTCATTTATCCCCAAAGGAAGGTTCCCATCCATGCAACAACACAGTAATCAACATTTTCATTCAAAATGGCCTTTAAATCCATCTCCCAAGCGGCCCCTTGTTCTTTGCCTTTTGAGGTAGTGAGGTTTAGTGTGTGGGGGTTTTTTGGGGTTTTTTTTAAAGATTTTATTGGGGAATTGAGGGAGGGGAACAGCGTTGGGGAATCAGGGGAAGGGAACAGACGAGTTGCTGTCCTTTTGTTCTTCAGTCTAGTTGTAGAGGAGTTGCTTCACTGGCCCATGTTGGTATTATCATTGCACTCTTCCTGGATGAGGCAGATCAGTTGCCAGCCTCTGGATGGCCGCTCATGGCAGCTCTTGGCAGCTCACACTGGCTGCCGGCCACTCACGCTGGCTGCTGGCCACACACGGTAGCTTATGGCAACCCACTGCAGCAGGGGCTGCAGCCTACGCCATCGCCGGCGACTCATGGCAGCCCAGCTCCAGGTCGAGCTGCTGCTCACCATGTTAGCTGTAGAGGTCAGTGTCACTGGCCCTCATGTGGATCTGAACTGGGGCCCTGCTGCTCAGAGCTGGCATCCCAAGCCAGCTCTTAACCAACGCGCCACTTGACCGGCCCTAGTGTGTGTTTTAAAAGAGACAGACAACATTAGCAACTATAAAAAGTTGGAACTGCTACTGTATGTCCAAAAGTAGGGCCAGCCGAGTGGCTCAGTTGGTTAAGAGCCTGCTCAAGAGTGTGAGCACTGAGCAACAGCGGTTCGATTCCCGGCCTGAGCTGAGCTGCCGCTGAGCTGCCAACAGGTGGCAGGATGGCTCCGCTAAAAAAAAAAATGCCCTTTGTATGTCGGACAGTAATATGAAACTCAAAGATTTTTATATATGACATCAAAGAGAAAAGTGTCATCTTAGATGATTCAGATGTAATTAATGAACCCAGATGACTACATAGGGGCACTTTGGGGCCCTTGCTCTAGGTGTACTTGTCTCAGATCTCAGCTGCCCCTGGCTGGGTCCTGAACCACCAGTGGGGGAACTGGCTGCTGTGAACAGGAGCCCAATGGGGGAATGGCTTCTTGGGGCTCTGGGCTGCCTCTGGGC